TATATATATATATATATAGTATTGCAATTATCAGGCCCCAATATTATTTCATGTCTTCGGAGCCTGCCAGGAGGGCCAGTAGCCCTTCTGGGGCTCGCAGCGGCGAACCTGGAATTCGAGCCATCGCCTGCAAAACTGGTGCTTTAAGGGGCTGCTAACAGGGCTTATGATATAGGGGCCTAGAGAATTACCACTGGTATTTTGGGGGGTTCCTCATTATGACTATGGACCCCAAAGAACTCTATTCTAACTATGAAGGCCTCTATACGAAACAGGGTTGCAGCAGGGTTTTTTAGCAGGGCTTTTGGATTCGGGCCGCCTCCCGGATGCCCCAAGAGGAGTAAGGGCTAAGTGTTTGGGGGGTCTCGGGTTTAGGAGTTTGTGGGGTTGAGGGGTTATGGGTTCCGGGGTCAGTTAGGGTTTAAGGTTTAAGGTTTAGGGGATTTAAAGGATTTGAGGAGGCTCGGCGCCGAAGAATCCTACGTTTCCGGGCGCTGTGACTCTCTGCACATTTGCAGGCCTTGCAGGAAAAGGCCTGACTCGGTCTGTAAGAAAAGTGAGAAGCCAAAATCTCATGCAGAAGCCAGCGCCACTTTGCGGTTTAGGGGTTTAGGGTTTAGGGTTTAGGGCTTAGCGACAAGCTTCAACATCACCTGCCTGCATCTGCTTGCATGCTTTGGGATGCTACTCGAGGCTCTTCACTTCCAGCGCTACACTTCCCTAAACACTCATGCCTGGATGTAGTCTTCTGATTTCAATTTAGGATCCCTTTTACAATCCTTACTAGTGGAGGAGGGGTATTTATTCTCAGGGGTCTGCATTACATCCCAACGGCTCCATCAACCCTCAACAATCCTAACTCTGCAAACCCTAAACCCTCAACCCCTAAACCCTACAGTATGGTACGCCCTGGCGCCGTGTATTTTTGTATATACAGTTTAAGATACTTTCACTTAGTTCCTAGGATGGATCGTTTAGGTGTATATGGTGCTATAGTATATTATAATTATAATTATATATATATATATATATATATATTACATCCATAAATATTCTGCCACGGCGTACCAGTCTGACAAACCCTAAACCCCTAAACCCACTGATCCACCTCTGCTGCTCCTCGCGCTGAAGCTCGCGGATCGAAACCTCCATCTGTGGAAACCTTCCAAGCCGGAATGCCCCCAAAGATTCTACCTCCAGAGAGGGGGTTTGGGGCTTAGTGGTAAAGCTCAAAGCTACACCCTAAACCCTAAAACCTAAAACCTAAACCCTAAACCCTAAAACCTAAACCCTAAGAACTAAACCCTAAACCCTAAAACCCAACCCTTAAACCCAAGAGCTCCAAAAACACGAACTCCTGAGACCCCGAAATCCAAAAAAAAATGTAGTAAACCCCGATGAGACCTGCAGAGATCCCTTTTGGGCTTAGGGTGTAGCTTTTAAAGATCCCAGTAGGGTTAGGGCTTAGGGTGTAGGTTCTAAAGATCCCTTTAGAGTTTCTGGTTTAGGTTTTCAAGATCCCTTCTATATAACCCCTAAGTACGCCCAAGAGGCAGATGCTGCAGGATAGCAGCCATCAAGTTACTTGGTATCGAGACTAAGAAATGATATCAGTTACAATGGTACCAAGACTGATAATGGTAATAATCCAAATTGACAAACATGAAAGCGAAATAACAAAAATAACGATCAGAACTCTAACAATACCAAAAATCTCATGAGCCCAAGGGGCAGATGCCGGAGGAGCTCCGGCATCGCGTTCTTCTCTGAAGGGCTGATGTAGGCCCTGTTGGTGCTCGCGAGTCTTCTATTGGCAGGGGTTAAAGTTCGGATTGCACAGGAGGCTCTATTGGGGGGCTGGGGTTTAGGGTTTCAGGTTTAGGGTTTAGGGTTTAGGGGGGTTTCTTTGCGGGCTCTTGTGCGGGGCTCTATCGGTTTTGACAGTTTAACAGTTCAGCAACTTGTCTGCGCGGCATTACAGTGTTTTGTAAACTTTCCTATAGGATTTTATGGGTTTGATGGCTGCGTACGCTGTCAAAACCCGGAGAGCCCTGCAATCTCTAGAAACACCACTGAAATCCCTTAATATCCTAAGCCGAGGCAACTAAAGTCCGAGGAGCTTAGCATCTCTGCCGTCTCACGTCGAGGGCTTCGGTTTGAGTCGTCTCTGCGGCTCTGCAGATATTTCGGGGGTATAGGCTTATGGGATTCCCCTAAACCCTTAACCCGAAAGCCCACCCTTAACCTGAAAGCCCTAAGGCTCTTAAGTCAGGCTCTTGCTTTGCAGAGCTTCTGGCTCTCAAAACCTATCCAGACCCGAAGTAGTCATTCCATTCCTCGGCGACCTACTTACCTGAAACTCTCCAAACCGGGATCCTTGATAGGAACCCTAAACCCTACACCATAAACTCTCTAGGCCCTATCCAGGCTCTAAACCATGACCCGCATGAAAGGATCATAGCCGCACAGTGAGACGGCATGGGTAGAGTAGGCTCCCGACGTCAGAGCGAGGAAGGCGTAGTCAACGAGCTGCAGCCCGTGCCAAGTGTGTCCGCACACCTCAGTCCAGATGTCAGACAATCCATTGAAAGAAAACTGTTGGGGGCGTTCTTCCTTGTTACACTGAAGTTGTAAAATCAGGAACCCTAGGAATAGTGTTGCTGAGGAAGGAATTCAGGCTTGCATATGAAGCCCTGCAAACCCTAAGCCTTAAACTAAAAGCCCTGCGCTTCTATGCCTTAGAAGCCCTGAACAGCCAGAGCCGACACAGTGAGTGGCTCGCTTGCGCAGAACCCTGGTAGCCAACAGAGTTGCCCATGCATGTCTATCTACTTATCCATCCATCCATCCACCCTAAAACCCTAGACCCCAAACCCTCAACTGACCTTAACCCCTAGAACCTTCTCGTCTGAATCTTCGAATCCCCCTTCTGTTCTGCGGCACTAAGCTTTATGGGCCGTACTTCGGTCGTTAGAGAGGACCCTGCTCCGCATGCTTGGGCTTGGGATTGCTTTAGGTAGGGCTTTGGGACAAGATGGGTTTCAGGGGCTAGGGTTTAGGGCTTAGGGTTAAGGGCTTAGGGTTTAGGGCTTAGGGTTTAGGGCTTGGGGTTTAGGGCTTACGGTTCCTAGGGCCCGACAAGGGTCCGAGGGCTTCTGAAGCCAGGGCACTGCGTATCGCCTTGTCTCATTCGAGGCCAAGACGTCGGTCGGAAGCACATCTGGGCAGGAAGGGATGCTCAGCTCCAGACAGCCCCAGCTACAATAATAAAATATCCTCTAAATGTACATGCTACTATAATATACTGTCATATGCTATGGTCTAGTATAGTATACTAGAATATAGAAGCCTGAGTAGTTGGTAATACTATTAAAAATGTCTCAGACCCTACAGGACCTCACACAGGAATTCAATCCGCTCTCTTCGCGACATTTATGACTGCCCCCTAAAACCCCAACCCCTACATGCAGGAATTCTACTATCGATCCGTAAACTTAAACCCTAAACCCCAACTCACCAATATGATTGCTCCCTAGACACCTGAACCCTACATCCTACTACTATCGGCCCCTTTCCTCTGAGGAGTGTCGGCATGGACAGGCGATGAAGCAGAGCAGCGCTAATAGGTGATCGGCAATGAGGAGTGTCTGACTGAAGGACTGACTGACGGACAATAATTAGAATAGGGTTTTGGGG